TCTTCGAGTTCATTTCCAAAGGGAGGATGAAGCTTCTCATTGTCTATGCTGGACAAAAGACGCCGCAGTTATTCAGTTAAGCTGTTCTACACATTTAGCTTCATTAGCTCTGTGGCATTTCAGCTGTGATCATGCTTACACTGCTGAAGTTTCATTTACGAATTACATCAAGTAATAATTCAGTAATTATAGGATGACGCAGCGCGCTGCTACAAGGCCCCACTACTATGAACTACATGGAGAATAACTGCCAAATTCTTCGTCTGGCTACTTCCACCATCAGCTTGCTACGAGAGTCATCTGCTCCAAATAAAGGTAGATTATATCGCCAACCATGGTAGTGTTTTGTTTCCATATATCTTTCTTGGTAGGGTTCATTTTCGCTGGAAGGATTGGACACTATCCTCCATTATAGTTCTCAACAAAGGCATGGTGAAACCATTTCAGTGCAGTGTCTCCCATCTGAGCGGAAGAAAACAGTCAATGGGCAAGACTAGCTGAACCTTTTCGAATATTTGTGAGAAGTGTCAGTGTATGGAGAGAAAAACAACGTCTGGGCCGTCGTTTGGGCATTGGGCATTAAGCTCATTGAAGATTTGGCTACTATGATATGTACAGGTAAGTTTCCCTGCAGTATAAAAGATCTAAACAGACCCGTTTCAGAAATAAGTGTTCCTTCTACGTTGTCGCAGCCGGTGCGTTGTGACAAATGTTTCCAAAAGATGAGAATGCTATGGTGATCGCAAGCCAAAACATTTTTTTATGTAAAAGACTCAAAGTGGCAATGACAATAAACTGAAAAACAGATGAGAGACTGAGGTAATTGGGTTAACCTGGTAACTGTGGTTAAAGTTAGCACATTTTTAGTGTGATACGTACGCTGTAATGCTTTTTATTTATAGTCATGAACGCTTGGAATATGTTTGTTGCTCGTTGCAGTGGAAATTCTTAGATGGGAAATTCGCAAAGCGAGGGATAACTGCATATGTTTTAGCGAAAATTATTTTAGGAAATAATAATTTATGCATTTTTCTGCATACTGAGTAGAAATATTGACTATACACGTGCAACGAGGTATTTTCATTGACATGCAAACTGACGTATAAGTTAATTTTAGTAAAATAGGTTGAACTTGTAACGAAGCTCTTTACTTCGATTAGTTCCATTCTCTGTTATGCTAATTTCTTTATAATTTCAATACATTTAAGAAAATCTTGATAACGTTGTTAAATTAAACCAGCGCAAACGAATTCTGAAACAGTGGCTATCGTTGTAATTTTTTAATTAATTTTGTAGTGCAATTATACAAGTAGACTCTTTTCTCTACTTTGCTGCTGACATATTTTCAACAGAAAATTTGTTGCATCGATAGTTGAAGCTATTTGAAGTAGAAGCCTGATCGAAATGCTAAAGCTGTTCATAATCGCCGAACCTGAGTCGTGTAACGTTGCGAACAAATACCATAATAATGATTATCAAGCACAAATAAGACATCGACCAAAAACAACATCTGAGTGTGGCATTTATGATTAGGGCCAAAAATGCAGTGAACAGTTTTTGTCTGTTGTCGAGCGAGTGACGCATCGTTAATTGGTAGAATTTGTTTTTGCTTATTATGAAGCACGAATCACAAAGAAACTCACAATGATATTCAGGTACGGATGAAAGGGGCGGGGTAATTTTTTACAATTTCGCAACAGCCGCAAGCAAGTATCGATTTTCAACTAACGATCAGTTGATTCAGCACGACCGAACCGGTTGACTTGCAGCTGCCAGTGTATAAACCAGTTTCTGGAGCGGTTGGCCAGCCGGTCGGTCGTTCGCTTAGGTTGAGTGCAGGGGTGAATGCGCCGTGCGTTTCAACGTTGTGGTTTCGTACTTGCTTGTGGCGTTTACATGTTGCTTCTGTTGTCCGATATTTTCACCTGTGCCCTTTTTTAGTTTACGTTTACGAATTCAACGAAGATGGACCCGAAATTATACATGGTAAGTCGAAAGACTGACTTTCGTCTTTCTCTTTCAAAGGGATTCTTCATTCGTTGGCCCCTGTGTTCTTTTCGATGTTCCAAGTTGCTCTCCTTGTCTGGTCTTGCTTGATTAAGAAATGTGCAGAACCAGCAGTCAGCGTTTCTCTTTGTCCAAACGAATGCGAAAGAAACCTATTTATTAATCAATAGCAACTATCGACATTTCAGCCGGTGTCCGAACCGTTTTTGGTTGGCTCAGTACAGTGATGCAGATTTATACCCATGCACTGCAGGTGCTGAAATATCATGGAGCTGTGGCATGCTTAAACGGTTCCATAGAAGACTAGAAACAACGGGGAACGCTGCGTAGATCCGGAGAAATGACAGGAGGCGAATCAATACAAATTGAACTGCTAATCTCATCGATCACTCGACCTCAGAGTCGACGTCGTAGAAAGTTCCAGTGGTGGCAGCCCACAGCGGAGTTCATTATGATTAGTTGCAACAAAGGTCAAGAAGGATTATGATGAATCCTGGAAGTAGAAAATGGCCGCCAACTGATGAATAACTTCATTACCCCAGTAAAACCAATTTATTAAATAGGTAGAGTGACTATATAAGATATCAACCTGAACAGAATAAGTGGAAAAAATTATGACTATGCTCAACTTGAGATCAATACAAATAATGACTCCAGATAATCTTTCCGATGGAACTTGCAGTTGTTTTGTCATCGTCATCTGAGGCTCACAGAGCTTAAATAGCAGTGTAACCAAATTTATGATGCCTGACCGTTAGAAATGTTACTTATAGCTATACCATTTTTTGCTGGACTGGTTGACACCAACCAGAATCACGTCTTCTGCTGATTATCACATTGAATAAGCAGCTATTCAGTGAGTCAAGGCGAACTGCAGCCGTATGAGGTTCTCGTATCAGGCAGCATGTCTAGCTGTCGCTCATGCCCTAATGACTAGATCAGAACACCATGCTGCCCTTGTTCACAATTCAACGACTTTCTATCCGTTTCTCAGCTGGTTTACCCCGCTCAGCATCGTGGAGTAAATTGCTTTCTGAAGAGAATTAGCAGTTAAAGCAGATTTTTCATCCTCTGAAATCGAACCCAGCACCTCTGGTTCGAGGCCTACTTCTTTGGCCGTGTTACGGCGCCTTAAAACCTGAGCAAGACTGTCAGCCCAGGTGACAATTTTTTATCAGTCGATTAATTCACTGCCATAGTTGACGAAGAATAGAATATTTTGCAATTTTTCCCTGTGCCTAGCGATGTAGCTGAGGGATTGACTCTGCAGAGAGCAACACCCTTCTCGCGCTGCATGAATCATCTTTCCGCTTCCTTGCCTCCCACTGTCACAACAGACGTCGTTAAATTCCCCAGCGTGATGACGATGATGAATACAATGAGGAGAAAACTTTAGTGATCAACCATTTCAACTAGCTAATGAGACACATTTTGGCAAAAAGAGAGCCTAGGCGTAGCCAGCCATATACTTTATTCAAATCTAAAATTTGCTGTTAATTTCTGATCATCAAAATCGAGCATGCTTGAATTCAATTTTTTCTACTCACGGCTGTTGTGAACAAACGATTTTTGCGCAGACGATGGTTCAGCTGGATACCAACTGACAGGTAGATCTTAATATCACAGCATGCAATGAACCTCTAGCCAGCTAGGTTATTTTCACCGAAGGCACGGCAGTGGAATGGATTAGCCTTAAGAGATGCATTACATTAAGATAATGATGCGGATGACGTTAAGGATTAAGCTTAGCACTGTAATTAATACTAAACTGGTAGGGATTATGCTTAAGATGAAGCGGTTAGGTTAAGAATGAGGCTTTGGGCACGGATTAGAATTGGGCTGGATTTCACTGGTGATGTCTGGCTTGTGATTGCATTAACTGTGACAGTAGCAATGTGACTAACAGGAACACACCGGAAGCACCAGCAGACAATTGCATCATGTATGTGGTGTGCCGAACTAATATCAGTCATCCGCTAACGTGTATCTGTTGTTAAACTAGATTCATCAGACAGAATGTCACCTTGTCTTTCCTTGTTTTAGGGTATGCCATACGTGGCCAAATTGGACAAAACCATAGAACCAGGCCAGTCGTTGATCATCAAAGGAGTGATTACAGGCGAAAAGTGAGCAGTATTCTACGTGCTACGAAAGAACTGTTGTAACTTTAAAAAACGACAAACGTCTCCGGCGCAGTTTTATGAAATGCAGTTTCATATAAACATTTAATGACCTTGACTATTGTTTCGACTCGTAGGATTTTTTGTTGTCTCGATTTGGTGAAGTTGATCTTTCTGATGTAGTTGTAAATTTTTCCAAAAAAATTTGACTTCACCGGATAAGTTTAAATACGTTCTTGTTTATTACCCACCCTGTTTTTCAGGACAACATCTTGAAGACATAACATTTTTAACGTCCTTTATTGCTTAAATTCAAAAATTACAAAGTACAGAAACGCAGTTATAGGATTAAACTTAAATTATGTATTCTTGTGTTAGATGTTGACTATTTGTCCTTGTCCGTCTATCATTGCTTTATCGTCTTGTAGAAGAACTTTGAGGCACAAACTTGGCATAGATAAAGGCGTTTGTCTACGACATACTTCCCAACATCCGATTCATGCTTGCAGAATTTGACGGACGTCATTTTGAAGGCTTACGTTCCGAGACAGAACAATCAAACGATGGTGGGCGGACCTGAACTGAGAGTCAACATTTAGTTTTAAAAAAATATGAAGCCTAATCCTAAAATTATTGTTTTTGTTGTTCACAGTTATTGATGTCGATGTAGTAAGCTTGATGAAACTGTTCAGAGGTCCTACCGTAAACTGCATAAATGGCTGTCAGAGTGGCTTATTCATTTCCTGTCTGAAGTTCACTGTAATGTAGTGGTTTGGCAAGGAAGTTAAAGTGACCTAACTATGTTTAGGAAACCGGAAGTTGATGGAAATCAGTACAATAGTTAATGCCCTTGCGCTCTTGTCTGACAACATTCACGCATTTCGCACGACCGTATGCTATAGCTTATTCTACGTCGTATATACGGTACGGTTGTATACCCATAGCTGCTTCTCAGGCTTCGTTCTTTCTTTTGCTATCGATGGTGCTGCTCGGAGCATCAAACCGAAATTTCATATTCTCAGGCCTACTGTAGATTCACGAATTTACGATTCGCATTTATTCGCTTAATCGTATTTCTAAATTTCGTGTCGTGTCACCGACCGACGTAGTCGCGTCGTCTCACTGAGCATGCCAGCACCGGACGAAAGTTAAACCTGGCGTCTGCGTGGTGTTTACGAAATTTATATGAATCGTTAAGTGTACAAAAATGCAGCTGCAGTGCTGCCATGAGTCACTTACGATGTGTACATAAGGAGTAATTCATTTCGTACTGCAGCTGTAAGCAGCGAAAGGCGTACTGATAATTAAATGCTATAGACTGATGAATATTAAGGTTACAAAATTGCGGTTAGTTGTTGTGACGTTCGCAGAAGTAACTTTCAAGAGCGGAAAATCACGTTCTTGAAATGCCGAGAGTTCAAGTTGACCTCCTCTGAACCGGTTTTGAGCGGTCTTCTTGACCTCTGAAGTGGTCAACCCGCCAAACAGGCTACGCTGTGTCATTTCAAAACATTTTCACCCCGTTTATCTTGTTTGATCATGGTTTAATTTATATTATACTTGGCGTGTGATATATTTAGTCTGCAGTTCAGTTCAGTCAAATATCAGTGGAAAAAAACATCATTCATATTTTCATGCGTTCCGATTCTAGACACCATCAGGCACTTCGACTGCAGAGGTTGCTAAGTTGTGTAATGCTTGCCTTTTAGCGGCTTACCTCTCATTCGAAATGTCACTAGTTTCGCAAATTCGAAACCTTTCGGTCTCTGTCGGTGCGCATTCACACTGCGGTCTTGAGTTTCTTTGCCTCGCAGGGCAAACTTCCGATGCTTAAGGAAACGCACAACATGACGCCAGAATACACGTTTATTAAAGTCGGCCTTCTGGCGTTGTTTGATAGAAAAGCTTATCTTGGCAGATATGGCTGCAAAAGATGTCGTTGCTGATATGGCTTAGCTTTGCACAAGCGGCTGATCTACAAAATACTTGGCTCGGTAAAGTTTATGCGTCATCCACTGTCCGTGTTTGTTGAAATCACCACCTTGATCAGTTTGCATAAGCAGAACGCCACTGGTTCGTGATGTCCGCTGTAAACGCAGCGTTTCAACACTTCGGCTACAAGGCACAGTTGCTGCACCTTAGAATGAAATATACCTTTCTGAGGGCAAACCAGCCTTTACCTTGTTCCTCCGTGTTGAACGCTGGCCTTTTGGTCTGCCGTGTTTCACCTGTCACCTGAGAAGTTCACGGGCTGGAGCAAATTGTGTACGAGCAAAAAGATTGTTTAACAGGGCCAATTTCCTTTTCTTAATTTTACATCGACCGAGGTCACCTATGCCTGCAGGACAGTAGGGTCATTCTTTACGTGGTCTTACCATTTATTCATGATTGTGCAGAGAAGTTAACGCTTCTGTACACAGTCCAGCCGTCGCTCTTAGCGCAACTGTCTTCATGCCGTGTGGTAGAAACAATGACCTATCAGAAGTAAGGTAGAGGCATATTTTTGTGGTAAGAATAAGTCTTTTCTTGGCCCAAATATTGGACAAGTTTTAAGAGCACTCGAGGAAAGAGCAGTCGTTTTATTTAACTCTGGCCAGATTATGTCATTGTTTGAGGTGATGGAGTCGAGATACTTAAACTGGTTAATCTCCTGAAGCGTTTCCCCTCCCTTTTCATCATGCAAATCATCTGCGCCGGACTGGTTCCTCACAATTTTCGACTTCCGATCATTAAGGAAGAGGACAGCTGTTGCAG